GACATAAGTCCTCCTGAGCTCACCTGAAGCTCCGGGCAACACGAAAACCGTGTTACCTGTCTGCTCGCTAGGCGTGGACGACTCTCGCTGCGTGGGGAATGAATGCTACTACTACTGCTACTACTACTACTACTACTACTACGACGACGACGACGACTATTACTACTATCACTCCTCACTACTGCTGCTGCCGCGTCCATGACTCGACTGCATCACCGTCAGGATGATCTGCGGCCATGCATGCTGGGGCAGGCTATCAGGTGTCTGAGGCTGGATGCGGCTGTAGCCAGAACAGAGCTGCAGCCGAAGATCCCGTCTCCGTTCGTTCGTTCTGTCCACTGCGTGAAGGTCGGAGTGGCAACGACTGATGCCCTCGACCGCAGAAAGTGGCAGCACTACTGAATCTGCGTGCTTGCTTCGGCAGTTAGATCCGGACAGCACCCAGTTTTAGCCTGCACCTGCACCTCCTTGCCGCTGCTCCTGCTCCTTCTCCTGCTACTGCTCCTGCTACCACCACTACGACTGCTCCTGCACGTAATGCCAAAACCCCAGTACGACGGCGACGAGTGCTCCATAGTGCATGATGCTGATTGATACCTGGGCTCTCTTAGCAACCCCGAAAGCACCACTCTGACCAACCCCGGCCAATTTCAACCACGGCTCTGCTCCCGGTGTGTCAGGGCCAAGGGTCGGCAGACCAGTTTTGCGGAATACGGCAATCGCGTGCCTGCAAAGCTGAGCTTCTGGAAAGCATCTCTACATGTGTCAAGCACGCGTCGCGCTAGGCAGTCATCGGACATGCTCTCTTTGGACAGTTCTGGACACTTGCAAGAACCAGGGTGCAAGCACGCTGAGGAGGCCTGCCAGAGGATACAGTTTGGACAGCATCTCGTCATCTGCATCAACCGCGGTGTTGTCCGGAGGTTCGTCGTACTCAGATAAGACATCGCTGACGACGCTCCTGAGACAGGGTCGGTCTTGGAATCGCAGGCAAGGAGTTCATCTTGAGACTGCCAACGCTCGGCAAGCTCTAGGATTTTGGAAATAACTATTCTGTGATTTGGCTGTGATTCGGGTCTGTGATTTTGCTGTGATTCCGTTACCATCTGTGATTCTCACTGTGATTTGGCTGTGGGTTGGCTGCGTTTTGGCTGAAATTGGTCTGTGATATTCAGCTGTGATTCGGGAACCCGCCTCTGCAGCCAAATCACAGGAACATCACAGCAAAATCACAGCCAAATCACAGAACATGCTCCAAATAACAGGAAATCACAGCAAAATCACAGCAAAAGCACAACAAAAACACAGCAACATCACAGTCGAATCACAAGCACATTTGGAAAGCACAGAGAAAACACTGCAAAACCACAGATATACATCGCAACAAAATCACAGCAGAGTCACAGAAATAGTGCTTGCTGGTGGTTGCCAGAGCAGGCAATCTCAAAGTTAATTTTGCTTCATGACACTACTGACATGCCCGCTGCATGGCAGCTCTGCGCCACACCGGCCGAGTGTCCGATCGACAGGACCTTGACAGATGACCAAACAGCGGCCGCCGATGACCAAGGAGCCCAGGGCGGCTCGCAATGCCTGTGCCGTGTCCTGTGGCACTCGAACTCGAGACTCCCCCGGAATGCAGTGGAAGCCCTCTCTTACAGTAACATCCGGGGCCCCTCATCCTCTGTCTCGTTGTTGATGATTCGCCTGAGCGCGGCCAGCACCAGTGAGGTGGATCCGCCATCGCGGCCGCCATCCTCCAGACATCGAGTCGTCTCTTAGCGCATGCCGGGCTAGTCTCACCAAAATACTATGATCGGAGATAGAGGGACGGCACCTCTACTCAGGGACCCCGTCTCCTTCGGTGGCAGCATCCGCTGCGTGAGGGTCAGGACCTGGCCACTTGCACGGTGAGTGTCATAAACAGCTACGAGAGAGGCCACCCAGAAAGCTCGCAGCAACGGCAGGTGTGGCGGCCCTCGCCTGTTTGATGGTGGTAAGGCCGCCGACACGGCGATGCTCGGAGAGCAGCTCAAAGGCGATGCGGTCGCACATCCTCCAGCTATAACGGCTTTGAGGTCCAGCTATGCCGCCAAAGTCCCAGATATGTCACGAACAGAAAGCACGTCGAAGTTACGGGGGGAGTCTGTGCCGTGCTTGGTGCGTGTGGTTCGGCTGGTAAAGCTTGCTGTGAAGATTCTTGGATCTGTGCCATGACGAAGAGCATGTGGGGTTGTGTACATGCTGATGGCTCGCACGTGCAGCAATGTCACCGAACTCGTGACAGCATCCTTCAGCAGAACTCAAGACCGCACTGACCCTGCGTGGGCCCTGGACCCTTAGCCCCTCCACCCCCACACCGACAACCCTCAACTCTCAATCCCAGCCCTTATATACCCAAACTCGCGACCGAGGCTCACGACCGAAAACCGGAGGGTGTCCCGCAGCAACAGAGACAGCTCTTCAAAGCTTACAGTGTTCAGCCACTCAGAGCACGGCATGCCGGCCTGGAGACGTGGAGGCTTCGACAACACATGACAAGACATGTCTGGGGTTTCAAGGGCAAGAGCCTTTGAAGCTTTGGAAGACATGCCTTCGCAAGAATTCTAGAAATTGTTACAAGCAGGAAGACGAGTGCTGATCCTAGAGCGCTTTGTCCATTCGGCACGAAAGATCCAAGCCCTCATGTCAGCCTTCGCGCTCCTCTGCAACTCATGAGGCCTCCCCGCCACAGCAACCCTGAACCCCGAAAGGAAACGGAAACACCCCAGCAAGCAACCAATGCTCTGCACACTCAAAGCTGCCCGTTTGCAAGGCCTCCCGGTCATAGCGAAGATCCAGCGGCCCTCGCTTGATTCCCCGCCTTACATCGTCAAAGTCGGGAGTCGGAGGAAAGCGAGGCCTTTGGCAACGACGATAACAGCAGCAACTGCAGTGGCGGCAGACACAACCTCGCCCATGTTGTAGTCTTAGCAGTCTTAGCAGCATAAGACGGTGGCACGATCTACGCCACCACTGCTTCGACTACAGCGCTGTCAGTCAGAACTTTTGATAGTCAAGAAAGGGGAACCTGAGAAATACCACTCTTCACCAAAACAGAAGCGAAATGCTGGGATTGTCAGAAAGTCCATGGACAGCGGGACAGTACCAGGGCCCCGGCGTAGCATCCAGCTTCGAGTCGGTGGTGAAGCCACCGTTGATCAGGACGCCTTGCACCTGGAGGCAGAGGGATCGCTCAGGGTATGTAGGTTGTCGTGTAGGGGGATGTAGGGGGAGTCTACTGTGCGATGAACGTCGACGGAACATCCGAGACGAGGCCACCCTGCGGTTATCCATACGAGAGGTGATCAGAACAGCGAAAGCTGATCTCATTCCTGTACAATCCCCCAGAGGCAATATGCCTTTCGAGGACGCGATATCCGAGCAACTAAGACTTCTGAGGCCCAGACCCGCACATCGCCCAGCACGGCACCCAGCTGCGCGAAGGAGGCTTTGTGCACTTTCAGGCGTGGGTCTCTGCGTGCCAGGCGCTTGGCAACGTCGATGGCCTTTTGGTCCACGTCCAAAGCGTAGAGCGTCGAGGACTCCGTCAAGTCTCGCAGTAAAGCCCTGGAGTGGCCTCCACGCCCGAAGGTGCAGTCTACGTAAGTGCCGTTGATCCGAGGATACGCGGGCTGGCCAACCTGGACGTCCCGAAAATGCTGCAGCACCGACATCAAGAAGAGCGGCCGGTGGCCAGCAGAGGCGCCTTCTTTGAGTGCCATCCTGGAACCCAGAAACACCGCTCCTCTATGCTCTTTACTCTCGATCTCTTCTTCAAGAAAACTTCGGAAAACAAAGCAACAAACCCTCTTAACATCCGCCGGCTGTTCATGTGTTGGATTCTGATGCCTGGTGCCCGTTTACCCAGCGCCTCATTTTGTTGCAACAGCCTCGCTTTCGTCAGGGCTGGGGTGGGAGTAGTCTTCTTCAACTCAGCCAAGGCGCGACCCCCGCACGCATGCGCATGGCATGCGCCCTGGAAGTCTTGGTCTGAGTGTGGGGGTAGCCTTCTTCCACACAGCCAAAGCCGTTGCGCGCAGCTGGGGTAGCCTTTCTTTCGCCAGGGCTATGGGCCAGGGGTTTTCCCCCTAGCCCGCGCGCGTCAGCGCCCCCGACCGTTGTGGAAGGGGTCTTGAAAGAAAAGCCACGCCACCAAGGCTACGAAGCCTTTCAGACCAGAAAACAAAACACCATACAGGGAAATCTAAGCAAGAGGACTTCTTGGTCAGTGGGCTCTCATGTGGTGGCGGGAAAATGGTCTTGCCTTCTCGTTGCAGGGTTTAGGGTGCTGGGGCAGCCGGTAGCCTCTGTCTTTCTTTCGGCAGGGCTATGGGCATGAGNNCTCTCTCTGTCTCGCTCTGGCCTGTGGTCAGCTTGGAGCCCATCGCGAATCGCCTCCATCTCGCCGAGATCGTCCACCCACTCCCCGGAATACTGGTCAGCCATCGGGTCCCGCAGAGGGGCAAGCTGCTTCAGTATGCTTTTGGAAGGCACCGCGAAGCCTCGAAAAGCGGGGTGGTACGAAAACCTTTGGAACAGAACGCTTCTTGACCTCTCACTCTCTCTCTCGCTCTCTCG